TTAGATAGGGGATTTCATAAAGCTCTTGATAACACAATAGTTGGTAGCTCTTTATCACAGTGCTATACTTGGTCATTGAACCTGAATATTCAGCTATGAATGTTAAGCTTTATAAATAAACACCAAGTGTTAAGGTGGGTGATAGTCATGCAGATAAAAAAGTATGGAACAGAATTTGGAATTAGCAGTTGAGTGAGAAAGAAATAGCTAGAGGTAGAATAAGAGCGTGGAACTTTATTGTGGACAGAACCTTTTTGTATGCGTTTTCGTGTTAACTGACTGTTTTTTTCCTCCACCCTTAAGGTTCAAAGATCACCCAACGTTAAATGAAAGATATTTATTACTTCATCTGCTTGGTAGAGGTGGCTTTAGTGAAGTGTATAAGGTAATGTGATTTTTTTCTGTTCTTCACACTAATATAGGAGTACAAGTTTCCCCTACTATCCACAAGTAGAGTGTTCCTATGAAACCTTTCAGAAGTCAAAAGAGCATAAAGCAAGAAGCAGTTACCATTAATTTATATGGAAATTTTTTCAAGTATTCCCAGACCCCCTAAATAACCCACCAAATCCTACCACATACATGTAATTATGTCCAGTTTTATGATAAGTGCAACACCCTTATGAGCTTTCTTAGGCTTTTCTGAAAGCTTAGGACACATCTTGCTAATTAATGCATAAAGTAAATCCAGGTAAAGCTCACAAAAACAGGGCGTAAAGCTATGCCAGCTTGATTCTGAGATGCTGAGTGTGGTTCTAGGGGGAGGACCTCGGGCTGCCACTCTGGCTGCACAGGGTGTGCACTGCCTCTAATCCTGTGACATGAGCACTGAAAGCTATTTTTACTTCTTGCTTTTTCTCATAAAAGCAAAAACCCTCTTTGTATTTACTGCAGTTAGCCAAAAAGGGTGCAAATAAATGTAGGCCTTTTGTAAAAGTGACCTAATGCGAACTCTCAAAAAGTGGGGGATACCTGTATGTGGTTAAGAAATACTTGTCTTTTATTAATTTTATAATTGGGGGGTGGGGGGAAATTTTTATGTAGTGATTCTCATTACAAAAAGTCTGGTGGCTTATGTTGTATCTTCATGTGGACCAGTAGTTTTATTGCTAGCTTTACCCAGTGGCCAGGTAAGTTTCTATTGAACGACTACAAAAAAACGTTTTACATAAATGTTAAAGGCAAGCCTTAAAATTAAATACCCATTGCATTTTGAAGTTATTTATTACATGTTTTTATAAGCTAATATCTTTTTAAAGTATGATGCTTTGTAAAGCACTGTATAATACGAAAACACGATCTGTCTGCAGTGTGTTAAGGGTCTAAACACTATGTTTGCACCTGCACAGTCCATCAAGTATTTGCTACCTAGTTACCATTAGCCAGTTCAATACAAATAATAGCCATTAGAATCAAGACAGGCAGGTAGTCATATGATATAGTACCTTTATGGACAGATTATACCCTTATATTTAAACATGTGTCTCAGAAATCTTACATGTCCTGAATTTACAGAAATTTCTACCTATTTTGCCCATGTTTTTTAAATGCATATGTGTAAATGTACAAATTTTTACTCATTATGTTCCGGTTTTTTTTTGTTTGTTTGTTTTTCAATGTTTTTTACCTCACTTTTTTCCACTTTATGTTGTATCGTTCTGCTTTAAATATTGTAGCTCCTAAGTCTCTTATGCTGTATTCTCCTTTTCAAATATATCCCTGCCATTCACTGACTTATCTGTTTGATTTCACCCTCAGATCTGTGTGTCTATGTGTGTGCAAGCTCACTTTTTAATTAGAAGTTATTTTTCTCTTCTCCAAAACCCCTTCTAACACTGCTTCCTACTTTAGTACATAGCATTGCTATTCAACTGCCTATCTCTCAAGTTAAAAACATAAAAGCCATCCTTCCCTCTGCCTTTCCTTCCCCTCCCCTCCCTTCCCCAGCATGTAACCAGTCCCTGGGTGCCCACTGTTACTAATGTCATCACACTCGCCTAAATCCAGCAATGGCCCTTTCCTTTCTCTTAGCTCAAGGCTACATTGTCTCTTGTTTGCGTTGCTGCCCAAGGGCATTAAGTTTCTCCAGTGTACTTATGTAAGCCGCAGCTAGAGTAGCCTTTTTATAAAATACAGTACAATTTTCTCTCTCTCATAAGCCCCTGTGGCTTCCCATTTGCTCTTAGTTAGGATGAAGTCATGCTCTCACCTGAAACGTCAGTTCCTTTAGAAGCACTCCTTGTTTATCCGCCTTTTATAAGCTCCTTTTGATACTTGGTGCTTCATTGTATATCAGTATAGTTAGTGGTTAAGAGCTCGGATTCTGAAGCCAGACTGACTGGGTTTGAATCCTAATTATGACTGCTGTTGAATAATGGTATAATCTTGGGCTTATTACTGAATCATCCTCTGTCTCACTGTCTTCATCTGGGAATGATAACAGTGCCTACATTGTAGGGTCGTGATTGATTGAGCTATCACAGGTAAATCACATAGAACATTGGTGCCTAATAAATGTAAGATCATCATTATTAGAAATCCTCTCTGTAGTGAGACAAGGACTGTGCCTTCGTGGCTTACTAAAAACATTCTGTATTGTTCTGACTCCAGGAAAATTTGGAATTTGAATTCTGAGAACTTCAATTCTCGTCTTAGCTCAACCAGTAACTATTTTTTTGTTGTTGTTGTTAAATTGGACAAGTAATAAGTATCATGGGCCTTCGCAATCAGGAGTGATCTGTGAGCTTGCTTATAATTTCTATATCTTTGATTCTAACAATAGTTCATCCTCCTGCACTATAATGATTGAAGTAGGCTTACACGGGCCTCATGGTGGAAAAAATCATAATAGCTCACCTTGGATCTAAAAATCACCAAAAGTGTACAATTACATAACACTACTAGCTCAGCCTAAAACTTGCCCAGCTTTTCAGCCTACTAATCACAGCACCCTTCTGCCACTGTTTCTGGGGCCAAAGGGGATTTTCTTTTAGAAATTAGAAAATGCAGATGGGAGCTCAACAACTTGAACCTTCAATACTGACCTAAATACTAAGCACTCACTCCAACCTCTACAAAGCCCTTTCGTGGTTGCCAGGTCCATTGAGAAACAAAGCAACAGATTGTAAATCAAATTTTGACTTATCTG